AACCGTAGGGGCGCTAATACATTGCATTAATGTTAAACTAATGTCCTTACATACGAAAATAAGGTATGGATCCTTGCTTCGAAAATGTTTTATAGGACATGATAATTAGGGGTGTTAAAAACTGGAGCTAAGCCTCTTAAGGTTGACTCAAAGAGTCATATGACGAATATGTATTTAAATAGTTAGGTTCATGTACAGACTGGACTCGTTACATTATGACTCGCGAGTTAAACTCTGAAATAAAACATGATCTTAAAAATCTTGATTGTATGGTTTAAAAATGTTTTTAAATGCTTTAATACATTCTGACATAATCATTGTGATAATTAAATTATGCTAATATTGATATTAAAAAAATAAAATTGTCTCAAATTATTTTATGGAAGGCTTCCTTTAAAAGAAACTCGGTTGAAATTTACTAAAGTTACTAGAAACTAATAAACATAGTCGGATTACGCTTCATCAAAAGTGTATGAAGAGGACTTCGTTGATTTAGTTAGTCAATTGAAAGATCAACTAGGTTAGATATTTGGTCATGCAAAATATTTGTAACATTTTTTATTCTGATACTGAAATTAACCTATTCAGTTGCCGATAGATGATTTAAAAATTGTTTGTGATCATGATTTACAAATCGTCATTGACTAATTCTGGACCTATGTGCTGACATAATAACGTACAAAAAATAAAATAAATAAAAATTCATGATCATAAGTGTTTGCACGATAATTACTATTATTGTATTTATAAAACGTAAATATAAAGATATGATACCATAACTAATCAAATTATCAGCGAGGCTACACGACACGTCAATAAGTCAAAAACAAATGATTATGCTGCAAACATTACAAAATTAGATATGATTATATAAAATAGTAAACTGGCCGGGTAATCCAGTTTTTTAAAAAAAATTTATTGATAAGACCGGGATCCCGAATAAGTTAATATATTAATATATTTAAATATGGATATTATAATCAATGTTTTTGATCCGGATATCATAATAAAATATCGATATCATTAAATCAAATACAGGATATTAACCAGTACGTGCATATGTATCAGGTTTTGCATTTGTGTAACAGATAACAGATAACGATAATTTTTTATGATATACCTGATATATAATATCAACTATGTGCTCTGCCAATCAAATTACAAGATTTGAGGATTTTTATAAAGATAACATGATAAGTAAATTTACAAACTCTTGGCTAGTGTATCTTTTTTTTTACGTTCACAAAACGGAATCTGATATTATTCAGTATGTGCTACATTTGATTGTGGACTTTTCTTATACAATGGTGCCGCAATAATTACTATAAATTTACTTATAAATAAATAACTAATTCAAAGAATGTGATTGCCAGTATTTAACGCAATAGAAACGTAACCAATCCAATTATATAATCGAATTGAATCATTACCCAATGTTCTTCGGATTCATGCTTGAAAAATAATCGCATTTAAAAAAAATTTTTTTTCCCCTTTTTTCTCTCTCTCTTTTTTTTTTTTTTTTTTTTTTTTTTTTTTTTTTTTGTTATTCACAAATCATATGTTAAACCCCACCACAAGATCGACTAACATCTTTCAATCCAAGACCATTATTATGTTTCTTCCATTCCATACGTAGAACATCGATATCGCGCGAATCAGCAAAATCAAAACTGTCACACTGCGCCATAGTGGTAAATCGGCTCTTGGACACATTGTAAGCTGTACAAACTATGACTGGTACTGAAAGCCTAAACATGGGCGTTTTTAAAGTGAAATAAAAATATGAAACGGTTAGAAGAATTCTTTTAACTGTTTTAAAAGGAATAAAGTGTGAAACTTGATAGTTACCATAAAGCAAAGTTCTTTGGTGTAAAACGGGAAGCAAATTTTTGTGCGATCATTATGAATTTAATAAAGTTGCAATCAAAAAATAAAAGAGTGCTTCCTTCAAGATTAGGATTGAGAAAATAAAATTTAAAATTGCAATAAATATCAATCAATTTTAAGCGTGAGAATGAAGTAAAAAATGGGAGGGGGTGGATTTCGAACAATATATATACACAATCACACAATTTAGTATTACTTATTTAGAAAATGCCTGATTACTAAAAAAAGAGTTAATGTGCCTTAAACTCACACGGTCACAATATCTTTTGTTCTTTTTTCTTCGGAATTCGGATCGTTACGTATCACAAGGTGCGTACGTAAGAGTACATATTTATCTACTTGCGTAATACCTTTTATAATAATACGTCATCCCATTCCATTGTCAATTAGTTTTTAAACTACCCGCCACGTAACTATTTTGAATATACCTCTTTTTAGGAATGTTTTCGAAAAAACCAGTTAAATGCTATTAGCTCAAACAATTTTTTTTCCCAGGCGCATATAAAAACTTTTTGATGTATTACGATAAGGCAAGTTAAGTTTGTATTCAGTATTTAAGTTTTTATTAATGGCTAGGATTATCCTTTTTTCATGTTACGTAGGGTAAAAGGAAATTAGTTTGGTTTGGATAAATATATCGATATATCAGTATATACGTAAAGTATTCACACGCAGTCCTAATCTGCATTTCGTATCTTATCGTTATCGTTATCGTTATACGTAGCTTATAGTTCATTTTCTGACTTCTATTATGTTAATTGTTTCGATGTAAATCGGAGTAATTAATTATAAAATCGGAAATTAGTGTTAGTGTTACGTATGTACAAATAGCCAATAACGAATTTTTTAATGTAAAAATTACCAAATTCTATACAGTCCTTTCTAATTTTTAAAAAATACAACATAACATGTTAAAATTTTAATATACGTATTTTTTTAACGCCGATTGAGTGTAAAGGTAACGTGAGGCACCACCATAACAAAAGTATTGAATACGTAGTATAAAGTTGATACTACGTACTGTACTACGCTAATTATATCGATTTCAATAGAAGTTTTAAATAGATCGGTGGAAATCTGTTAATTTAGGTATTTTAAGTATTTTATTTTGTACTGTACATGTACATCCACTTCCAAGAATCAAAAAAAGCTTATGAAGTTTGCAACATTGCTGCAATTTTTTGCGCAAAAGGCGCAACCGCATTAATTTCACAAGTTAATCTATAACTAGAATAACGCGTAGTGGTAGTCTTTCCAATATGATCTTAGATCATGACAATGCTAATTAAGCCACTTTTGATTTGATTTTCATATTTATCGTTATAAATTACTGCTCACTTGAAATCAAGTGACTGGTTAAGATCATCAACTTTATGATTGGCTTGTTCGTTTTGGGGTGGGAAAGCTGGTGGATATTTAACCTAAAAATCGACTTATTAAGCTAAAATGATTTGAAATATTAAATAAACTCTACTATATTTTTTTGCAGGTTTGGTTGGTTTGGGTATTTGAGCACTTATCATAATGCCACATGTGTGTCTGCCTCCCTTTTGTAGTGTAGAAACGAAAAAGAATCGTAACCACACAACCAACTGGATAAGATCACTGATCCGCATTATGATAGTATTATTGCTACTTCCATTGCATATGAGTTCATTCACCTATTTTACCATATGTTTCTTGTCATTATACCATCTTTCTCTAATAAATACTCATCTTCGTATTAATTTAAAATAAACGCATCGAGATCACATAAATGAAAGCGTACTATTTAAAGGATTTAATTTTCGAAATAACATTGTAAATACGGTATTTTGATTTTGACTAAAAAAAAAAAAAAAAAAAAAATCAAATAAGACATGATTTTACTTAAATATTCATGGAAATATTGATCATATCACTAGTATTAATATTAATTTCTTAAAGATCAAATTAATTAAAATGAGCTTGGCATCAAGCATTCTAATAAAGATCAGTCTGATGCAAGTTTTTAAACCATAAAAAAACCACTAATGCGTTAATATATAAAGGTAAAAAATAAAATAATAAAAAAAGAGAAAGACACCTTAATTTATTTATAGACGTTCTTCACTCATAATTTTTTATAACGATATACATTGTCATTGTTTATCAACTACAAAAAGAAACATAATCTCAGCATGCATCTATTTGAAAGTGAAAAACTTCTAATTTTTTTGTTCTTAATAATAACATCAATGACTCAATGCTTATCACAAACAGGCATCCCTGCTGGAATTCCATCGTTTGGTTCACCGCCAACAGGAGATGGCGCTTTTACAAATTCCCCAAAATCAACGAATCCTGAAGACTCACCATTTCCACTCTTAGAACCCGACAAAAATTCAAAGCAATCTACGCCAGATAATTCAATAGCAATTCCATCAGCAGTTCCATCAGCAACAGTTAGCCCAAAGGCGACCAAGCCACCCGGCAGCGAGAGTAATTCGCCATCTTCAGGAAAACCTAACACATCTGCGTCTCCACAATCTACATCCTCACCATCTAATAAAACTAAAGCTGAGAGTTTAAAAAAAGTTGTTTGGCAGGAGAAAGAAAAGGCATGTATTGAAGTCAGGTACGTAATTTCTCCGTTTTTTTTTTTTTTTTTTACCTAATTGAATGATAATATGATATTTAAACAGTGGACCATCAAATAAAACGATAATACGACCCGAAACTGTCCAACGAATATCATGGAATCAATCTCCGTGTCAAATGGAAGCTCGTATAGTTGGTGACTTTGCTATTTTATTATACGATAGTGTAAAACTTGTACCTGACGCAAAGAAACGAGATTATTCTCCAAATGGAAAGGTCAGCATTTTTAAATTATTCACATAAAAATTTAATGTTTTAACCTTAATTGGTTTATTTTTAATTTATTTAGTTAACGTACGATTGGGGTCCTATGGCGTAAGTGAATCATGGAAATTGGTAGAAAAGATTTTTTATTTTATTTTTTTTTTCCCCATGAATGTATTATATATAGTAATATGTTATAAATATATTTAAACATATCGATATTTATCACATTTTACTAATTATTTGGTAAAAAGAAATCTTTTCTACTTGTTAAATTTATTTCGATGAACGGTTCAAAATTTATTCAAATTTTATTATAGAATTGCATCGAACCTAACAAATACAACTAATAATTACGATTGGTATGAAAACATTATTATTTTTATTATTAATTTCGCTTATTGTTAATAAAAATATCCAAATTGTAATTATAACATCAACACACTTTTTTTTTTTTTCAAAAATAAAATAACAGGAAAGTACCATACTTAAATAATCCAAGGATTACAAACGCATCAGATTTTTACATTCGAGTAGAAACGATCTCTAGATCCGGTATTTTTGGATCTAGTGTACCTCTGGGAGGAATTTATGGTCCATTCACAATGGAATTAAAAGATCCTCCGGAAGGTCAAAATGTCACACAAAAAGAAGTTTCTTTAGCGTCTAAATTATGGTTTCATGAAATCGAAAAAATTGGTTTATGCGCTTACATCATTGGATTGATTA